AACTTTGTTAAAGGTATTTCTTTGCCATTATACAGAAGTCAACAAAATTCACATACAAATGTCCTCCCGTTAGACAATTGTCCTATAACTAGTTTCATAAAATGAAAATAAAAATAGCAAGAGAAAAATATGCAATATAAATTTTACAATGGAGAAATTTGCTAAGATAATTTAAAAATGTACTTTTTCAGAAAATACAGGCATAGCAAAAGAATATGATACTATACAAAGCCCACTCATACCGCAATATATGAAATATTAGTTCATAATTTTTTTTAAAGTAGCAATTCAAATCAGGGAGAGACACATGATATGAGGAAATTGTTAAGTATTTTAAAAACCCTTCACACTGAAGGAAATTCAAGATGAATAAATATATAACCAAAAATTAAAGTGTAAAAGTTATTAAAAAAAAAAAAAAGACCTGGTACAGTGGCTCACACCTGCAATCCTAGCATTTTGGGAGGACAAGGTGGAAGGATCACTTGAGGCCAAGAGTTTGAGACCAGCCTGGGCAACACAGTGAGACCTCATCTCTACAGAAAATCAAAAAATTAGCTAGTCGTGATGGGTGGCACATTCCTGTAGTCCCAGCTACTGAGGAGGCTGAGGCAGAAGGATCACCTGAGCCTAGGAGGTTGAGGCTGCAGTGAGCCGTTATCATGTCACTACACCCCAGCCTTGAGCAACTGAGTAAGGTCCCTGACTCCAAAAAATAGTTACAAAAGAAAACATGGGAGTGTTTACTCAAAACACTGGAACAGAGATCTTTACAAGAAGAAACATAGTTTAGAATCTATAAAGTATGAAACTGATAAGCTTGACTACATAAATATAATAAGGCAGTATATAAAACAAATAACCTGGCCTCATGAAGTCTACATTCTAAGTAGAGCAGAAGAGACAGAAAATGAGCAAAGATATTCTTCAAGTGGGAATAATAAGTGCAATAAAGAAAAATGAAATAGAATAGGATTAAGGAGTCAGACAGACAGTCACAGAGAGATGCTATGACTATACACAATGGTCAGAGAAGTCTTCTCTGTTTACCATTTGAACAGAACACTGAATTAAGTGTGGGCATCATACATATGAATACGTAGGGAAGAGAATTATAGCAGGAAGTAAAGGAAATGCAAAAGTACTTGGTAGTTGTGAGCCAAATGTTTGAAAAAGAGGCTGGGAATGGTGGCTCAAGCCTATAATCCCAGCACTTAGGGAGGATGAGGTGAGGGGACTGCCTGAGCCCACAAGTTTGAGAATAGCCTGGACAACTTGGCAAGACCTCATCTCTACACTAAATAAAATAAATAAATAAATAAGCCGGGCATGGTAGCATGCACCTGTAGTTGAGGTTACTTGGAAGGCTGAGGCGGAAGGATGGCCTGAGCCTAGTGGGTCGACGCTGGGACGGCCATGAACACACCACTGCACTCTAGTCTGGGAGTGAACATGCCACTGCACTCTAGTGATGGACTGAGACTTTGACTCAAAAAAAAAGAGAAAGAAAAAGAAAAACAACCAGAAGGCCAAAGTGGCTGAAACAGAGGAGTAAAGTACCATGTGGTAGAAGCTGAGTTCAGATGGATAATCAAGTTCAATACAGCCTTTAAGGCTACAGTAAATACTTTGGAGCTTAATCTAAATGATATAGCTGGTGGAGAATATGAGCAGATGAGTGACCAGATGTGACTCAACTTTAGAAAGATCACTAATAGCAATCTTGAAAACCACAGGGGGCCTGAGTAGAAGTTTAAGGGCTGCAATAACCAAGGGAGGAGTGCAGAGGCGCAGCTTAGGGTGAGAACGGTCAACAAGGTGAGAAATGGTCAAGTTTTTGACAAACATACACACACCCCTGTAGAACCATGAGTAATCATCAAAATTATAATTATGGTACATAATGTAAATATAACACAAGATGAAAACCAGAAATAACACAACTAAGTCAAGATATTGAAATAAGTAGATAAGATAGAAGATAATTAAGTCCTAAATACAAGTAGCCTCAGAAGACAAATGACAAGAACAAAAGCATTTGCACATCTGCAACTCCCATCATAGATAAAGAGCTTACCTCCCTAACTGATGAAGAGCTCCTCTGTTAGAAAGAAAAGAAAAAAAAAGAAAGAAAACTAACAAAACAATTGTGGAGCAGAACTAGCAAGAACATCAAAAAATAAGTCACAGAAAACAAAAAAGCTTCAAATATAAAAAGATTTCCATTTCACTCAAAAAAAAAGTTATCTATTAACAAAATCACAGAAACCTCAACACACATACATGTACACATATCCCTGTAATTATAATTCTAGAAATGTAGGCCATAAATATATTTGTATGTGTAACCCTGAGCATAATCCATAGTTCCCATTTCTGTTGTATTTTAACAAGTCGTGAAATTGAGGTTATGTGTGCTTCTTGTAATTAGCTGTGTAGCTTCCTTAATGTCATATGCTTATCACTGAGTTAATGAATGTTTATTGAGAGTTCATTATGTACAAGGCACTATGGTGAGTGCTTGGGTATGCAATCATGATCAAAACAGTCCCTATTTTCACCAGTCCACAATAAGGGAGAAGATAATTGCTATGGTTTGAATATTCCTCCAAAACTCATGTTGAAATTTAACCCCCAATGTGACAGTATTGATTGGATCACGAGGACAGAGTCTTCATGGACTAATCATGGGAAGAAAACTGGAGGTGGCTTTGTAAAAAGAAAGAATTGAGCTAAGCCAGCCATGTGATAACCTATGCCACTTGGTACTCATCAGAGTACCAGCCAAGTCCCTACCCACAAGAAGGCTCTGACCAGACGTGCCCTCTCAACCTTGAACTTCCCAAGCTCCAAAATTGTAATAAATAAATGTTGTTTCTCATAAATTATCCAGTTTCAGGTATACTTATAAGCAACAGAAAATGGATTAAGACAATAAACATCTAAATAAGTTTTATACATACACAAACATTCACATCAATTAAGATGTCTAACTTATAAAAGATAGCACTTTGTATTTTTATAGAGATCCTCTCTTTAAGCTTTATAAAATGTTAACATATAATGGAACATATTTGTCTTATATGGTCCACTATACTCTATATCAGTTCAGGTTCTCTTTTCTGATTTTATGTGTTCTTTTCCTTGATTACTTATGCAAAGATTTATCTTTGCTAAATTAAGTAAATCTATATGGTTTTTACAAATAAGTACAAGTTGGACAGACAGACTAACAATAGATAGGGAGATAGCTCCTTGGGTTCTTGGCAAGTTTCTTAACACGTTTGCAACCAGAAAATTTTTCACTTTCCTAACACTGAGAGTGGATGAAAATTTTTAAAAATCTGAAGCTGGTTGCCACAAACTTCTGTCATTAAGCACAAGTGAAATAGTCTTTTCTAAATTGTCACTTTTTCCACAGTAAACCTGAAAGTTGCAGACATATTCAGTATGTGCCTCAGACACCACTCTATAACCCTAACTAGCATTCGCTACTTTGTATTTTTATTTGTAATATAAAACCGAAAGGACAGTCTTCCATGATGAGGTGTCACGGATACATCCAAGGAAAGTTCTTGTTCAGGTTTGTACACCGTGTTGAACTAATTTAAAACATTATTTAATTAAGGGTTCATTTCTGCATAATCTGCTTGGATTTGACTACATTTTTGCATTATTGGAAAAATGCAAACACCACAAAATTTGTAGGAATCTATTTCATGTCATTATTTTTTAAAAGAAAGGAATAGCAATTGACAGATATGTTGACCAATAATCATGTATTGTAGTTTTCTTCACTTGTCCCATCAAAATATTTAATGATAGAAACTTTTTCATCTTGGACATTCTGTAGTATTGGTCCACTTTTTTTATTTCTTGGGACATTTACATCTGTGATGCATCTGATCCATAACATCTGTTCGTTTCAGTTGCAATCATCTCTAATAAATAGTCCAACAAATTCACTATACTTTGAGGATTATTTGGAAATACCTTCACACCCGGATTACCAATAAACACTTCTGAGGCTCTTTTTGGATCACATTTTATCCACTCATGTCTAGTTTGTTCTCACCAGTACTAGAGTCACTGTCACAGATTATCTGTTATTTCTTCATTTACATGGCATCATTACATCACTATCTGTCTCACTATCACTAACAAGGTCACTGGATTCACCTCTGACTTCAGAAATCTTATCAGCAAATATTTCTTCATTTTCCATAATTATGATAAATTATTTCTAACCAGAAAGTATGAAAGCCCTGAAATATCAAAATACAAGTATAAAACACTAGTTGCAACAAAATAATAACCAATCTGCAATTTTTACCGACTACACAAATCAGTAACAACATTGCACAAGTCAATATCAGAAAATTACCTCAATTAACTTTCTCCTTGCCTGCTATTCATTTTCAAGCAAAATATAATAACACATACGTATGACAATGTGCAGTATTCAGAAACAGAATTTGCTAAGACGTAAATTCATGTCAGCAGCAACCAGGATCAGAATTTGGAATGATGTGAATTCGCATCAGCAGTTGCAATGAGCTAAAATACAGTCAGCTAAAAATCTGAGAGTAGTGGAGGATAGAAGAGAAAATACTCTTTAACCTTTTCTTAAAGCCTGAGCACTGTTTTACTCATTCTAACTATGCTCCTCGTTTCTGCCTGCTTGCCTAACTCTCAAATTCCTTTCTGAACAGCCCCCCTGAAATCCTCACTTAAAAATGCAGACACAGCTGAAAGTTAACATGTGGAACAGGTTTTGCTAAACATCAAGACTGTAGGTCCTTTCATTTTACAGAATTTTAATTTAGCAAACTAAGTCACAATCAAATCAGGAAGGCCATGTTGCTATGAGCCATTCATTACAACATGAAGACTACTTTATCATGCATACACTATACAAAAAAATTTTTCCATAATATTAATAATTTCTACAAATAAATTACTTCTCAAACCCAAGTTCGAAACTCCTTAACAACACTTACATGTCTAAGAAGTAATTCTAGAATCCAATTTAGGAGTTCTACTGGTGAATTTTTTCTTTGCTCCTTCATTAACTTATTTAAAAAATGTATGATATCTATTAGCAGTTTCTCATCTTCAGTGCAAGCAGGAAGCACTTGTAAAAATCTACAATAAAGAAGACAATAATCATGTTTTCTACATCTTTAAAACACATTATCATTGCTCATCATAGATATATGCACTTACATCTTTTGTGAACATGCTATTTTATGAGACAGTATTCTAGATGCTATGAAAAATGCAAAGATGAAAAAAAAGTAGGGAACCTGAGCCTATAGTGGAAAAATTATGTGTCCAAGTAACTGAAATAACTGAAAATGATAAATACCATAAGAGAAAAATAACAAATTTGGAAAATGTATCCAAAGAATACCAAGGAGAAAAATACACCTCTAACTATCCAGGGAAAGTTGCTTTTTCATGCTGAGAATGCCATCTTTCACTGATAAAAAGAATAAGTCATTCAAAACTAATCCTGATCAACTGGAAATAATAGGATAATAAAATGAGGGGGAATAAATCCTGCAAGGATGCTACCAGCATTTGTTACAGGCAAGGAGAACAATGAAGACTTAGGAAAAAATAAGTTTGTAAGTTCAGAGTGGAAGGATATGCACCAATTTTGAGATTCTTAAAAGAAAAACTGATTGAAAAGAACTAAATGATTAGTAGACACAAAAACTTTTATTAAAAAAAAAGAGAGAAGTAGCTTGGAAATTTGCTTTTGAAAAAGGCAACCAGGAAGAGCTATAATGAGATTTCATTTTATCGGTAATATTCTATTTTATTTTATTTTTATTTTTTATTTTTTTTAGTTGGAGTCTCATTCTGTCGTCAGACTGGAGGGCAGTGGCCGCTCCTGGCCACCGCAGCCTCAACCTGCTGGGCTCCGGCAATCCTTCCACTCAACCTTCCAAGTAGCTAGAACTACAGGTGCGCACTACCTCACCCAGCTAATTTTTTGATTTATTGTAGAGATGAGGCCTCACCAAGTTGCCCAGGAGGGTCTCGAATCTGCGGGCTCAGGCAATCCACTCACCTCAGCCTCTCAAAGTACGGGATTACAGGCTGAGCCCGGCTTCTATTTTAATTTTTTAAAAATCTAAAACATTTACATCAAAATGTTAGTAAGACCAACAAAACTACTAATCATAATAATCAGCATTTATTGAGCACCGATCTTGTGCCAGGCTATGTTCTAAGAACTTAATAGAATTTTTTTCAATCTTGATAGCAAATGGAGTGGGCAGCTCCATTTTTTTTTATTTTTGGAGGGTTGGAGTCTCACTCTGTCTCCCAGGCTGGAGTGCAGTGGCATGCTCACGGCCACCGCAGCTTCAACCTGTTGGACTCAGGCAATCCTTCAGCCTCGGCCATCCAAGTAGCCAGAACCACATGTATACACCACCATGCCCAGCTAAATTTTTTTATTTATTGTAGAGACGATGTCTCGCCAAGTTATCCAGGCTGGTCTCAAACTCCTGGAAACAGGCAATCCTCTCATCTCCACCTCCCAAAAATGCTGGGATTACAGGCATGAGCCACTGTGCCTGGCACTCCATTTTAAAGACAAGAAAAGTCAGGAAAATATATGGTTAAGTAGGTTCTACCTGGTCACACAGCTAGTAAGTGTTAGAACAGGGATACTAATCTAGCAGTCCAACACCAAGGCTTTATCATGGTATATTTCTCAGTAATACAGTGTTTGCCATATAATTAATTATTTTTCTTTATTTAAAATCTCCACATTCCCAAAATGACATTCAGTTGAGAAGAATGGCAAGTGTCAGATTACAAAAATTGAGATTAGAAAAATATTCCGAAAGAATGAAATGAAAGGATGTTTCTAACAAGATTAAACTTAACAATCATAAATATGACAATAAGTCATCTATGACATCCTGTATAATCTTAAAGTTTCACCTCTGCAACCTCATTTTACCCCTACATCCCTTAAATCTAAGTTACTATACTTCTTTCAATTCCTGAAAGACATAAGACACGCTTTCCAAATTCAGGGCCTTTACCTAGCATCTTCTTTTCAACATTTAATCTTTTAGTCTAGAGAAGAAATAGCATATTCCATAAGTGGTTGTGAGCCAACTGGTCATAAATTTATAGATTCAAAATATCAAGTTTCTGTCATAACATGCACCAACCTATATTCCATTTAAGTTTTATCTTTAGTTGACAATTAATAATTGTATATATGTATGTATGGGGTACAATGTGGTGTTTAGATGCATCCAAACATTTGGAATGATCAAATCAGGTTAACAAACATATCCATCACTTCAAATTCTTATCATTTATTTGTGGTAAGAACATTTAAAATCCATTATTTTAGTTGTTTTGAAATACATGTTATTAACTATAGTCAGCATGCTGTAGTAGATCACCAGAAACTATTCCTCCTGTCTAAATGAAATGTTGTACTCTTTGACATACCCCCTTTCTCCATCCATATCCGGCCACTGTCCCTGCCACCCATCTCTGGTCACCACATTCTACTCTCTACTTCTATGAGTTTGACTGTTTTAGATTCCACGTGTGAGATCATATGGTATTTTTCTCTGTGTGCCTGGCATCTTTTCTGCTTCGAACTCCATAGGCTTTTAATATCCTTCCTACCTTTATGCCTTGGCTTAAAGTTCATTCCCTGAACTACTCTTTCCCCACTAAAGAGAGATTAGGTGCCCTTCCAATACAGTTATATAATAGTATTCTTGTTGGAAACATTCCTATATTTTATTATACTTTAGCTGCCTTAATTGCAAGTTCCTTGAGAGCAGAGATACTATCAATTTTGCTCACTGCTATATTTCCTACAGAAGTGTCACCTAGCAAATGATCAATAAATGCTGATGGGGTGATGGAAAAGCAGTGGGCAAAGAGAGGTAATAGTCCCTTTCTCCCTATTTACCCTATCCCACACCACCACACCCCATATAAAGCATCATGTTCAGTTGACAGAGTACGAAGAAACAGAGTATATTTGTAAAATATGATGAACAAAAGAGAAGTCGGTGGCTTTTGAAAGCTAGCTAAAAGAAAATGGAACCTGGGGATAAAGTAGAGAAGAAATTACAATTGTATTTAAGTAACTGAAGAGTTATC